TGCGAGCGGGGCTGCTCGGGGCCGGGGAGATCTCGGCCCCGGGGGGCGTGTGGAGGGCGCGGGCTGGCACTGTCCCTGTCCCCTGGGCTCTCTCGTTCAGGCCCCTGGGTGAATCCTGCTTGTTTCTACTTTGTTGTTGTTGTTGTTCCCGTGAGTGAGTTTCTGGGTAAGGAATGTGTGTGGAGTGTTCAGGAGAGATGTCCGGACGCCTTCGTGGGTGGTGAAACCACTTGTGGTGAAACCGGTCAGGGCGCTGAGGCTGGCCGCAGGCGCTCGCAGAGCAGGGCAAGCGCTGCCCGCCCGAGTGACATGCAGGCCTGTAGCATGACCGTGGGACTCGGCAAGAAATGCGTGAATTTCTTCATAGAAAGAATACCCTGTAACTTCTTGCCTGCTAGTGTTAAGCGCTAGCAAATTTGCTTGTTGTCTGTAATGCCTTCCTTATCTTGCTATCAAATGACTGTATCACCTTAAATTCAAGCCCTGCCAAAGCTCATTGATACAGCTGCTAAATTAATGTTGGGTTGCCACTTCGCTGCTGTTAGAAGTTATGAGGAATAGGGAGTGAGATCACACCATATTGAGTATATGGCCTTATAAAGTTTTACTGTGTTAAAATAGGAAAATTAAGTGATGCTTTAGCTTTGAAAGCTAAGCTCTTTGCTAATATATTGATCTAATGTGTAGTCATTGAAAAATTATTCTCATCACTTGCAATGCTTGTCTTCTGAGAGCCACAAAATGAGCTGGATATGATTCAGTTCATGGATTGCTAATGTCAGTTCATTACTTCTGGCAGCACAAAGTCCAAATACAATTTGATAATGACACCATTCCCCCTTCTGTTATTAATCTTGTTTTCATGATTGTAATGCTCCTGCATAAATATTTTCTGTTGGATAAAAATTGCCATAAAAATCTTTAGCTCTCATTTGTTTTCAAAATATCAGAGCTTTTGAATTGACTACAATAATTAAATGTAGCATTTTGTTTCCATGTTCTTTTCATACCCTCTTCCTAGAACTAAAGTTTGGCTTCAAAAAACTGGGATCCTGTACTGATGTCATGTTTGAGCTCTAAAGGGTTGTCATCCAGTGGGCATCCCCTATGCATGAGATTAAATTGCTTACAACCCTTGCTGATTCTGTAAGCTGTTGCTTAAAAAAAACTTCCTCCAATGGAGTTTCCTGAGAACTGTAAACCTCAGCATGCAGCAGGACTT